AGACCAGGTGAGTAGTTATGATGCATCAAGCATCTATTGGAGAGGTTTGGGTAGATGAAGTAGTGGATATAGATCCATCAATTGCTGTACTACCTATGGAAGGTAGTCACACCAGACCAGGTGAGTTGTTACGATGCATCAAGCATCTATTGGAGAGGATTGGGTAGATGAAGTGACAGGTGTAAATCCATCAATTGCTGTACCACCTATGGAAGGTGATCACACCAGACCAGGTGAGTAGTTATGATGCATCAAGCATCTATTGGAGAGGATTGGGTAGATGAAGTGACAGGTGTAAATCCATCAATTGCTGTACCACCTATGGAAGGTAGTCACAGCAGACCAGGTGAGTAGTTATGATGCATCAAACATCTATTGGAGAGGATTGGGTAGATGAAGTGGTAGATATAGATCCATCAATTGCTGTACTACCTTTGGAAGGTAGTCACACCAGACCAGGTGAGTAGTTATGATGCATCAAGCATCTATTGGAAAGAATTGGGTAGATGAAGTGATAGATATAGATCAGTCAATTGCTGTACCACCTATAGATGGTGATCACACCAGATCAGGTGAGTAGTTATGATGCATCAAGCATCTATTGGAGAGGATTGGGTAGATGAAGTGATAGATATAGATCCGTCAATTGCTGTACCACCTATGGAGGGAGATCACACCAGACCAGGTGAGTAGTTATGATGCATCAAGCATCTATTGGAGAGGGTTGGGTAGATGAAGTGATAGATATAGATCCATCAATTGCTGTACCACCTATGGAAGGTGATCACACCACACCAGAGCAGGTGAGTAGTTATGATGCATCAAGCATCTATTGGAGAAGATTGGGTAGATGAAGTGATAGATATAGATCCGTCAATTGCTGTACCACCTATAGATGGTGATCACACCAGACCAGGTGAGTAGTTATGATGCATCAAACATCTATTGGAGAGAATTGGGTAGATGAAGTGATAGATATAGATCCATCAATTGCTGTACCACCTATGGAAGGAGATCACACTAGACCAGGTGAGTAGTTATGATGCATCAAGCATCTATTGGAGAGGATTTGGTAGATGTAGTGATAGATATAGATCCATCAATTGCTGTACCACCTAAGGAAGGTGATCACACCAGACCAGGTGAGTAGTTTAGATGCATCAAGCATCTATTGGAGAGGATTGGGTAGATGAAGTGATAGATATAGATCCATCAATTGCTGTACCACCTATGGAAGGTGATCACACC